AGCCTCAAGAGCTGCCCAAGACGGCCCAAGACGGCGCTAAGACGATCTTTAGACGACCGCAGAGGCGCCCAAGACGACCCCGGGCGGCCCCAAGTCGGCCCCAGCAGCACCCAAGACAGCCCAAGAGAGCCCCAAGAGGCCCCCTGGAGGCCGAAGGACGCCCCAGGGGCGCCGCAGGAGGCGTCCAGGAGGCCGAAAGAAGCTCCGAGAAGCTCCCAACCCCGCCCACAGATCCTCGCCGCACTCAGAGCGCTGCTCTTCTCCGTGGGTGCGGGCACGAGAGCGCGAAGGTATGCGCGTACGGCACTGAAGGTCGTGGGCGAAGTCCACGGGTTCGCCCTAGTCACCTACAGCTCTGGGACCAGCGCGTGCGAGTGAACCCAGTCGCTCCTCAGCGAGATGTAGAAAGTGAGGCTGGAGCCGTGCAGTACAGTAGCCAGTGCGTGCAAGAGCGTTCTGGTCAACCAGCCTCAATCGGGGCCAGCCCCTCAGCGGACCTCATGTGCAGGATTTCCAGGTCCTCCTCCTCCTCCTCCTCCTCCTCCTCCTCCTCCTCCTCCTAGTTCAAGTCCTGATCACACCGCTGGAGGTGCAGGACGACAGCACTGCCGCCCAGGGAAGGCCCTGGGCGCTGGGGCTCGAGCAGGCCCCCCGCGGCCTTTTCGGCACCACGATCACGAAGTGTGCTTTCGCCCTTGTGCGCTCGCCTCGCCTGGTCCGCCCACGTCACAATTAGCCACGCGGAGTGATGGCGTTCCTGTGTGCCGCCCTTCGGAGTGCGGCCCCGACGTCGTCGCGTAGCGCCTGCCGCCGCGCCAGAGCTCGCGCAACCCATGCGCGCAAGCTCCAAGAAGCCAACGGCCGACTGGCTGGCCTTCTTGCGGCAGGCCCCCCGCCTGGACTCGTGACGCAGTAGCCCATCGCGTCGGGCATGCTGTACCACGAACTCGAGGAGAATATCTGGACGCCCACTGCCATGCTGGTCTCCGACATGGGGGCCAACGAGCTGGTCACCTACGGCGAGGGCCTCACGAACTAGCTGCTGCGGATCCTTTCGCCGCAGCGCGTGGCAGACACGGAGCAGTATGCCGCCGCCGTGCCTGGAGTCATCGATGTCTCGGACGCCGAGCACATCGAGAATGCCGTGGCCGAGAAGCCGCACGACGGCTTCGACATCCAGGCTGTGGACCCAGAGCATCCCCAGGGCACGGAGCCCTTCGATGTGGAGGGAGACGACGTTGCCGACATCAATAAGTCTGCGGACGAGCATGAGCAGGTGGTGCAGTTCGCCGCGGAGCGGGCTGCGGAGCCGCCCAACCAGGAGGCGATTGAGGCGTCGGAAGCTGTGCAGATCGAGCAGGTTGTGCCGGAGAAGCTGCACGACGGCTTCAGCAGCCAGGCGGAGGTCCAGGAACAGTTCCTGGGCACGGAGCCTTTCAATGAGGCGGTCCCCCACGACGACGCCATAGAGGTCAATTCCGAGGTGGTCCAGGGGCAGTTCGACACCACTAGCTGGAAGTACCGCGCTGGAGAAAACTGGCTGGCCTTCGGCACTTAGTGCGCGGAGATAGAGAAAGCATATGTCCAGTTCGTTGAAGGAGAAAGCGGCCGACATTACGACATTAAGATTGATAGTTGCACGCCTGTCCGACTAGAATTTGTCTCTTTCTGTTTGAAGCCACGCTATAAAACAAGCAAGTTCGATAGTTTCAGTTACAGGCGATGGAGGCCGCGAGTAGCGTTGCCCGCATTCACTGAAGTCTGAGATCGTTAGTGTATGCTGCTGCTGTAAGATCAGCGAATATGTTTGTTCTTTATTCTGTGTTCGCTGCATACTGTGTCTGTGCATCTCTGTTGTATCCTGTTTCGCAGGTGACAGGCATGTCTTCGGAAACCTTCCTTGCGAAGGAACGGGTTTCTGTGCCGCCAGCAGGTCGAAGTGCCAGGCGCACCCCTGGTGCTTCCCTGCGCGGGAGAGCGGCGGAGGCTACGCCCTTCGCCCAAGTCGACTCGATATCGACCGCATCCCGTTTCTCAGTGTTCTACGCGTGTACGGGATAGTTCTTGGCAGACAGCAAGATCAGGTAGTTGAGCCATTCTCTGGTGCTTCCCTGGTCAGTAATGGAGTGTCTGAAAGCTCCCCTGAGGGTCGTCGAATTTATCCCGTGCCGCTGGCGCAGCTGCTCAGAGGCAGTCCAAGCCAGGCAGAGGCCGCCCCGCCCTGGGGACAGGTGGCCCGAACTCATCCAAATGCGTGCTGGTCCTCCTCCTCCTCCTCCTCTCCCTCCTCTCCTCCGCCTCCTCCGTCCCAATAGGTCAATAGTTCGTGCCTTAGTCGGAGAAATAGCTCGTAACTTCCAGAGGTGAATTGAATGGGGCGCCCACCGCGAGTAGGAATTAACACTGGATGCTTGGGCATGGGCTAAGATTTGCACCTTCATTGCGCATGCGATTCAGATTCTCGGGTACCCATGCCTTTGCCGCGCGGCATCTGGAGTGCCTGAGTTCACGCGCGAAGCGGGTATTGGGCTCTCCACGCCTGTCGTCATTTTGCAGCCGGGGGCTTCGAGCGCCAGCCGCCAGTTCTGCCCCCATTGTTACAGCCAACGCAGACGCATGCCATCCACCTGGCAGCAGAGGAGTACATGTGGGGCATTGAAGAAAGGCCGCGCCTTCGAGGATCGTTGCCGTCTGTTCCCCGGCAGAAGGCTGCGGAAGGCCTGCGACAGGCGGCGGAAGCAAAAATAGGGCGGTTCCGCCTGCGGAGGTTGGCCCCCCAAGAGATGCAAGGCATTTAGTTTTAAGCTTTCTGGAACCGGCCATGTGGAGCGGGGGGTGAGGAGTAGAAGGGAGTGAGGGAGGAGTGGGATCATGAGGAGGCGGTCATTCGGGTGGAGGTGGAAGCCGTGACGTGCTGTGCTGAGCTGGGCATTTCGTTGGTGGGTCTGGGCAAATCCCGTCAGGTGCATTGGGCCTTGCAGTCCGGTGCAGCTGTCCCCGTCTCGACCTCACATTATTCCTCGTTGGCCTCGTCTCCATTTTTCATGCGGTACTATCCTTCCCCAGTGCCTTTTGTCGGCAGCTATTTTGGCAAAGGGCTCAAAGACGCTGCAGCATTAAAGCCTGTTCTACCACTCTTCGGGCGCAGCAATGGTTCGGCCCGTTGTGTATGCGCCTACGAAGGCGTTCAAGCTGTCTGATGCGGAGAAGGCCAAGTACGAGGAGATCAACCAGGCAGTGGCAGGGAAGAAGAACTCGGACCCGAAGGCCGCTTTGGCAAAGATCGAGGCAGCCCTTGCGCTGGTCAACGCCGCGGAGGAAGCGCCCGACGACACGGTGGCCACCTCCGACGCGGCCTTCGTGGGCATCGTGCTCGGTGGCGCCGACAGTGGCGAGGCCGTAAGCGGCGGCGATCTGGCCGTGGACACCGAGGACGTGACCGTGGAGGAGCCGAGGGTGATCGCCGAGGACGAAGATGAGGAGGAGGACGAGCGCTCGCTGTGGGGCGACGGCGAGGACGACCCGAACGAGGAGAAGGACGAGTGAGCGCAAGTTGCACCAGTAGAGTTGGTCGAGTGTGGAGCAAACGTTGCCCGTCATTCTTTCCACTTCCTCTGCCTTTTCTGCTGTTTGTTCCGATTCCCCGCCCTCCACTTGCTCCTCTTCATTCAACTCCTTGTCTTCATTATCCTCGCTCCACCTCCGCCTCTACCTCGCTTTCTTCCTCTCTTTCGATTAATTATTCACAGCCCTGTTTCTCCGTCTCACTCTCTTTCTCTACATAGTTCTCCTCATCTCCCTTTCGCATCCCCCTTGCCTCATTCTATGTTCCTCGCATTCGTCCTCTTACTCACTCTCCCTGGCTCAACGAAATTGCGATGTGAATTCCAGGCTGGATTTATTTATCGAGTCGACGACGCTGAGACCCTCGCATGCGATAGCGATGAACGGGCGTAGCGGACTTGATCGTTGTTCCCAGAGGTGAGGGAAGCAGCATTGAGTGAGGAACTCAGTCAGTTGCAGCGGGATCGCTCGCTGCTCAGTGAAATTTTAACTCGAACATGGAGCTGTTGAGTTGTTTCATCAGCAATGCAGCGGTATTAAGTAAAATAAATAATGATCAGCAGACCGCAGCCAACAGCAGCAATCGGTAGCAAGCAACCGCAGGGATTAGCGACCAGCACCAGGTAGCCAGCGGCGTCAAGTGAAAGCAAGCGGCAGCGAGCGTTAGCAAACCAGGGAGCTGCACCGTCACTGTTGTGCCTGAACGAGCGCGTCCTCTCAGATTGATTATTGGGCTGTGCTGCGTTGTATCCGCCTCGCCGTGCAGCGAAGAGGCTTGTCCTCTCGGGTGCCGTTGCCTCGCTGACATGCTGCGACGTGCCTTTGCGAATCCACATCCTGCTAACCTCCTCCTATTCCTCTGTTTCTTCTCCTCCCCTCTCGTCAGGAGTCTTGGTCGCGCGTCCATATCACATCTGCTCCAGCAGTGTCCACTCCTGCGCCACCATCGGCTTCTGGAGTCCCAGCACACGTGTGATTCTTGATTGAGGTCAGGACCCGCCGCGTTCACGCCCTGTTGACCTCGTCGCTGGAGCTGTGAAACAGGCAGTCTTCTAGGTGTGCCGGAGATCTGTTACGAACTGAGGCTCTGCAGACCATGACATGTGTCAGGCCTTCTGCTTGTTTGCCCGCCCAGAGTCCACCATGGAAGGAGGACCAGGACCAGAACCAGGACCAGGACCACGAGGAGGACGATGGGGAGGAGGACGAGCAATGGCATGGAGAAGAGGACGACTGGGGAAACGAGAGGGCAGGAAGTGAAGGAACAGGAGGGAAAACGGGAGAACGAGAAGGAGTCCTAGGGTGGAGGGCGAGGGGGAGGAGGAGGAGGAGGAGGAGGAGGAGGAGGAGGAGGAGGAGGAGGATGCGGAGGACGCGGAGGAGACGCGGCCGCGCGTGCTGTCGCGTGCAAAGCTGCGCCGCTCGGCCGGCCCGAGGCCTTCTGCATCGGCGCTTTCGCCTCGCTGGCCTCCACGCCGGTAAGCCTCAAGGCAGTGAAGCGACCGCCGAGGAGCATTGAGCTTGCGTGCGGCGGAGAGGAGGCCGCTGTCAAGCGTGGGGGGTTGGGCCAGGAGGGGTAGATGCAGATCGTAAGCGGCAGACACATCTATGTCCAGCTGCCCGCGGCAAGTCCCGTCGCCGTGCCAGGCTGACAGTCAGGGGGGCGACCGTTCGGGTGAGTACGGGAGAAGCCCTCACGTGCGGTGTCCCCAGGCTTGGGAGTGCCCTGATGAGGATGATGAGGATAATCAGGATGATGAGGATGAGGGAGAGGAGGTGGAGGTGGAGGAGGAAGGAGGAGGAGGAGCAGGAGGAGGAGGAGCATGAGGAGAAGAAGAAGAAGACGAATATTCAGAAGAATTATAACAATACTACTCGTAGAATCACACGTGACACCTGTCGTCATTTCTTGGGGAGCTCTCATGACGCTCATTTTGGTCGTCTTGGGGCTGTCTTGGCTTCGTGTCGGGCAGTCTTGAGGGTCCCTTGGGACCGCCTTGGGGCCGTCTCTCAGGCTGTCTTGTGGCTCTCTTGGGCCTTCTTGTGGCCCTCGGCCGTATGGGGAGTATATGGGGGCCGTCTTGTTGCCGTCTTGGGCCGACGAAGGGCCATCTAAGGCCGTCTTGGGTCTCTCGAGAGGCCACCTCGGATCGTCTTGGGGCCGTCTTGGAGGCCCCTGAGGCCATCGTGGGGTCTTGTTGGGGCGTTTTGGGATCCTCGTGGGTAGCTGTTCGGCAGTCGTGGAGCCATCTTGGAGGCTTCGTGGGCCCCGTTGAGCTGGTGGAACAGGCGAGAACACGACAATTCTTACAGAGCCTGGAGAAATTGGAGGCTTCTGGGGCCGCCTCGAGACCATCGTGGGTCGCCTTGAAGCCATTTCGTGGATCGTCTTGGAGGCGCCTTGGGCCAACTGCCATCTTGGTGGTCTTGGTTGCCTGCCTGGTCCGTCTTAGAAGCTCGGGAGCGCGGGCCCACTCCTTCGGTTGAAACCAGGGGGTCGCGGCCTCGGGCGAGGGGGGGGGGGTGCAACACTCTGTGGTGAGGGGGGGCATCCAGAGAAATACGGACATCCTGCCAGTCAGCCCCGGGTGTTCCACCGCGCCTCCGCGTGCCAGAAGGGCACGGTGGCGGAATGGCATGCATCCTCGCGGTCAGGACTCCTCGACCGCGGCCTCGTCGATACAAGCACGCTCCGCCGCTGCTTAGCGTGGAGGTCTCGTGATGGCGTTTTTGCGTTCAGAAAACCGTGCGGAGCGTATCCTTGGGATCGCGTGTCCATAGGATCGGCGTTTGGCACCCATGACCGCGAGCGCATGGATGTGGAAATGCCGGTCTTCGCAGCGTGCTGTTGGGCTGGCTCGCCTAGCAAAAGGCACGCGAGAGCAGTCGCAGCAGTCGGTCCCCACAGCGAGTTGCTCGACGTGGTGCCGCGACAGGAGGACTGATGACAATCGGTGTGTTGTTGTGCCAAAACCAGACCTCCGACGACTCGAATTTTCGAGTCGCCAGTCTATCCATCGGCCTCGCTATCTATCTTTCGACCTTGTCCAGGTGGTTGTATCGATAGTTGTGCCGATGGTTGTCTCGATGGTTGTCCCGACATTCTGGGGCCCAACCGCGCGAGAACCATCCAGCGGGATAACCAACAACAACAATCACGGGACATCCACGGGACAACCACAGGAAAACCACGGTACAGCAGCGGGGAATTTTAGCCAGTCGGCCGGGGTCAGATGCAAGTTGTGGTTCCCAGCTCAACTAGTCTCTCTCGCCTTCGCGCAACTTCGCCCCCCCTGCACGCACATCACACACGACACGAACCGAAACCGCAATCGATTTCCTGGCTGGGGAGCTCCGTTTTACTTCGGTTCCACCCCCCAGCCTCCGATACATGTGGTGCGTTACAAGAGGGCCTCGCCTTCGAGGATAAGCGGCGGAAGGCGGGCGGAATCTGGCGGAAGTATAACGAGGGCGGCTCCGCCGGCAAAAGCCGGCGGAAGCTTGGCGGACGGCGGCGGAAGTAAACCGTGCGCCCCCAGGAGATGGCAACCTTTTGGGGTTCAGGGTATGTAGAACCCGCAATGTGATCCGCCACAGGTTTAGCCGCGACCGCCCCGACCCGTGCGCGGGTGTCACGAGAGGGGCCCAAGACTGGCTCGAGACGCGCCGTCAATTGCCCGGGGCTTCTCAACGAAGGAGTCTTGGGTATTGTCCGAAAGGAATGCCCAATACATCAGGGTTTGTTCAGTTTGTCGAGGATCGGCCGTTTATTTCGATGGTCTTTGGTTCACAATAACGAAGCTACGGCTGGCTGGCAGGTCGGTCCAGCAAGCATTTGCAAATGCGCAGTCTTGGACCCCCATGGTGGCAAGAGACCGTCCTGCATCTGCTCGATGTGCAATCCAGAAACGCGGGTCGAGAATAACGTGCCCTGGAGCACCATGTCCACCAGGATGAAGGGGTCCGACGAGACGCCGTCAACATGTAAGTTGGCAGCGCGGGGTGCAAGCCAAGCATCAGTGACCTTCTATGCCAGCCTTGGAGACGACTGCTGTGTGACTTGGAATTCAATCTGGCTGCTCGCCCGTGTCGAAAGCGCTGGCTATATCCGAGCAGTAGATAGTCACCCGCAGCCAATTCACGATAGCACAGTTGTGGCGGTAAGCAAGTTTCCTGCAAACAAATTAGGCGTAGAAGCGATGAATCATGATAGTTATAGTTAATTGTTATTCTCTGTTGTCTCTTTGCTGCGGTGGTTGATCGGCCTTCGCGCTTGCAAAGAGGATGACGCACGTTAGTAACTTATCCAACGTACATGTCAGGAGCCATAATGGCTTCCCGCCCAGCGAGTCACACCAACGGAGTTGCCAATCCGCTGGTGCCGTTCCGTAAAAGGCGCGTTGGCGCACCTCGTCGGGAGGGCGGGGAGGGCGTGGGAGCTAGTCGTGTTCACGATTTGTCGCCCACATCCACTCCTCCCCCCTGCCTCCTCCCTGCGGCCGTACACCAAGGCAAACATATGACATGCACAGATTTTGCGCTTTACATTGCACGCAGCGCTCGGTTTAGCTCAGGGCCCATTCTGCCGTTCCCGCTGTAGCATGCGTCACCCTGGGTCATTCTTCTGAGACACTGGGCCCCACTGGCTCCCCCTGCCCCCCCCCGTCCCCCTTCTCCCTTTCCCCCCCATTCTTCTCCTGCTCCCTCCCCCCGCAACCCGCTGCCAGGCAACGCCAAGCCACGCAGGTGAGGAGGACAGACCGCCGCCTTTTGGGGACTGCGTCGGCGCTGGAAGGTGCCGTGGAACGTCGCGCCGTTCCTCGGGGGCTTTTTCTAGATGTCGCCGCGCCGTTTGTTCCGACGCGCGGCCACCACGGCAAATGCCGCCTCGGACGCGGTGGGCTTGCCGTGGGTTAGCCGCGGCGCCGGCGTCGTCTATTTGGGCGCGGGGCGCAGGGCTTGCCGTGGGTTTGCCGTGGTGTCGGCGTCGTCCAGTTGGGCGCGTCGAGAACAAACGGCGCGGTGACATATACTTGCGGGTGTTGATTAACATGCACACCGCAGCTTCATATAACAATTCAGCCAACACGACTAAACCATCAACCGACGTGGGCGGACGCGAAAAGTCACATGTCTCAGAGAAGAATTGTCCACGCTGAAGCTCAACTAGAGCGACCTACATTAGCCAAAAGCGACACCACAGTCGTATCGCCATGACTTACGCCCCCACGACACCGCAACGCCGCAGCACGACCACATCGCGATGTCGGGGACACTACCACGCCACCATATTCACCGTGGCACCATGACACTACAACGCAACTCATATACTACGACAGCTCACGATTCACCCTGACACCATCACACCCCGACGCCGCGGCATCCCCTACACCATTCTTCTAGGGGTGAGGAGGTAGCCCGGCTGCAATGGCGGAGGGTAGAACTTGATCTTCTGAGGGAGGGTGTTGAAGAGAGGAGGGCAGAGAGGGAGGGATTCAGCAGGGGATCGGGGCGAGAGGGAGGGATGGGAGCGGAGAAATTGAACGTGAACCCTCACCCTCGCATTGGAGCCGCACCGTGCCCATTCAGACACGGGCACTCCTTCCTACCGTCCATCCGGCGACCAGTCTGGTGTGGGCTCGCGGCGAGAGGTCTCCACAGCGGGGCCGAGTCTCTCCCTCTCTCTCTCTGGGGGAACTGGGTTCAGCACGGGTCGTCTGATCTTCGGGCGTTGCGTGATGTTCTGTTCATGTTTACCATTGAGTTGGAGAGGTTCCTGCAAGGGCAGCATATTGGCTAGGATCGATGGCACGTTTGTGATTACGATAGGGTTGCGAGGAGGAGACAGGACGAGGGAGGGGGGATTGCGGAGGGGAAAGGATGATGACGATGAGGGGGTTTGGGGAGAAGGAGGAAGAGATGGAGGAGACGGGAGACGCAGCAGGAGGAGGACAACAATGACGAAGGTAGGAGGACACGACGACGAGGGAGTCGGGAGTGATCATGTCGTAATCGTGATTGGACAAGCGCGGCTCTCAGTGCGGTCGCGTGCCGCGACACGCCTCCATGGATTCCGACACTGGGTGCGTTGACGATTCCAGGAGATATCTTTTGTTTTTGTTGCAGCTACGGTGCAACGACGCCCGAGCGACCCGAGGATGGGACAGAGGACATAAGAAAAGTTTGTGCTTTGTGAGTCACGCCAATCACATCCTGAAGCGATGGCGGGGCGTCATCAAGGGGGTGATGATGAGGATGAGGATGAGGAGGATGAGGAGGATGAGGAGGGTGATTATGATGATGATGATGATGATGATGATGATGATGATGATGATGATGATGATGATGATGATGATGATGATGATGAAGATGAAGATGAAGATGAAGAGGAGGAGGATAATACATGTTTTTTGTTTGTCTTCGACGCTGATTCAGCTGTGATCCTATCAGCAGAGGCCAGCACGCAGCTCGCAGACAATTAGTCAGACTTCGTACTCTGCACGGGCACCAAAGAGCTCTGAGCGCGTTGTTCTTCCCCCTCCCTTTGTCACCATCCCTCCGAAAGAATCTTCTCCTCAAATCAAGCAGATGGGCTGGCATCGGGTCCTACACAGGATCGGCTACCGTATCGCGGGCATTCGGCCGCGCGGAAAGGCGGAGGGAGGGAGGGATGATGCATTTTACCGAGAACGAGAGAGTAAGACCGGGACACAGAGCTAATACCCCCAGCCTCGGGAGGAGGGCGGCAACGAGAGGGAAGGTAGAGGTAGGGACGCATACCTAACATTTCTGGCACGTGCGCGCTCCTTGTCATTCAGTGCTGCACAATGAAGGTACCACGACGACACGGAATGAAAATGTGAACGACGACAACCATGTGCAGGTGCACAGTCCGTCTTCCTGAGAAGGGATGGAAGACTATCTTGGGCTTCCAACTCAGGACGCACGACGAGAGTGCATCGGAGCACCGACGCGACCATCCGCACACTAAGCCGAGGAAGGAGCACGTGGGGAGGCTGATCAGTCTAGCCTCCTTCTCCTAGGGAGGGGGTTTCGGACAGACCAGTCTTGCCATTCGCGAGAGGCCAAGACATACTCAGCTAATTGTGCATTTGGGTCGGCTTGGTTTCGCGTGGGTGGCGGGGGAGTGGGCAGCAGATCCGGCTGCGCCCACCGACGCACGTTCCGAGCAAACATATCAGATTTTTTAGAGCAGTGATGCGAGCAGCTGGTGTCGCATTCTCGCAGTGAGCGAGAGAAGTTGAAACGACTGGGACTCACTGCGCACGGGCTTATGTCCACAGCAAGCTTGATTTTCGAACAGGAGGCTGGAGGGCAAAATAATTGCACACTCATGGCTAACTACAGGCGGCACCTTCAGCAACGCGGGCACGGCGGCCACCAGGGTTGGTTCGACGCCGTGGGCCTTGACGTACTCCTGCACGGCCTCGGCCGCCGTGTCCCCGCCATCTTCCTGGCAAGAGCCGGTGTTCAGGCAGCGGAAGTTTTCCATGACCGCGACGGGTCCGGCATGCTCCGTTCGCAGCTTGCCCAGGGCCTTCACCACGATCGACTCCCTCGCCTGCGCCTCGGCATGCTCCTTGTCGATTGTGGCCACCAGCGCGTGACGTAATTCGCGGGTGGCGCTGCTCTTGTATTCCACAATCTTCCTGGCGGTCTCCGCCGCCGTCGCGGCGTCCTTGCAGAACGCGCCGCCGACAGCCCGCTCCAGAGCAGGCCGCGCGTAGAGAGGCATCGTAGGCGACCATGTCGGTGGAGCGGGAGCAGCTCCAGAGATACCGAAGCAGGCAAGATCAGGAGGCCCTTGTGGTGGCGTTGCGCGGACGCTCGCGCCAGCGGCAGCAACGTCCGATGGATGGGGGTCCGGCACCAGCCCAGCAGCCACGCCACCACCAGAAGAACGAACGGCAGCACCAGTAGGAGGACGATGAACACCATCTCGATCAGGTACGGCAGCTCCGCGAACACGCTTGAGTCCAGAACGATCAACACTGACCCGAGCAGGCGTCACCTCGGATGGCGCAGCAGGCCAAAGGGAGCAGTCCCATGAGGAGGTGGCCAGGAGGAGCAGGAGGGACAGAGGAGGGACAAGAGCTGGAGAAGGAGCAAGATGAGCGGAGGCAGCCTGAGCAGAAAGAGATAGCGCATGCGCCTGCCCGGTTCCCGCCAAGCACCAGATTTCCTACCACGTTTGCTGATCTCACCTTTTCTTTGCGGGCCCGTCTTCGCCGAAGCCTCCCAATCGTGCGCGATCGGGCCACGCTGCTGGTGCATCGGCACCCTGGCCAACTTGGAATCGTCAGGTTGTCGGGGGGGCTGACCACGACACTCGACGTCGTGAGAGCGGCCGCGACATCGTGAAAGATTTCAACCGGAGCCCTCGGCCCTGTATTCAGTGTTCTGTATTACCTAGCCCAGTCGATCCGTGAGGGCCCCAGGTTCAGCAGCGAGGCAGAAAACTCCAGTCGATATGTTTTCTGCTATGTTCAACGTTCAGGGACGTGGATCGGAACGCAGCCGTAGTGTCGAGGGCCTCGAGGAGGTCCGAAAGTGACAGAAACAGCATCCGAGGCCAGTTGCCACATGCAAGGACAAGAGCTGTATCTGCCCCCCGCGCGATAGGTGCGCCAACGCCGGCGTTGGGGAGGGAGGGTTTTTCGAAAGTTCACGCAGACGAGTTAGTGTTGAAAGCGGAGAGGTTTCCAGCACCAGAGAGAGACACTCATTTAAGTGGCCCAGCGTTGCAGGATGAGAAGAATTTGGGAGCCATCAGATATTTCATGCAGCTCGTCATATCACAGGATGATGGGAAACAAAGGTCTGCACGTACCAGTATTAGCTGGGAGAGTTTGATGGTGCAGGCTCGTGGTCACGCGAGGCGCCATGAAACAGATCTTGGGCGAAGGCTGCATATGTTTGTGCCAACTGCGTGACGATGCTGGTCCACCGACGTGCGCCGATCAGAATCTGTGCATTCCGCAGCAGCAAACATAAACAAACGTGCAGATACGAATCACACTGCATCGGCTCAACTTCGCAAGTTCGGAACCCCGGGCAAGCAGCTTGCAGCAGACGCCGACGCCTTTACTGCAATGAGGCCCAGATCTTTCCTCCTGATCTGGGATTCGCAGTTGTTACATTACAGAGTTGTGAGGGCGCGCGTCGCGACAAAAGGTTCGACATGCGCTCATCCTGAAGAGGACAGCCAAGGGATTATGCAACATGTATGCGCCTGGGAGGCCCGCGCCAATCCGTGCGCATACAGGTTTCATGATCTATCCTACTTGCTCGCTCATCCCTCAGTCCTGTTGTCTCCTCCCTAATCCCTCCCTACCAAACTGCCCATACTCAAGACCTGGCTTGTACCCCCTGAGCCGCAGCCCATCTCCCGACCTCCGATGTCGCGAATGTGTTATGACGTGGCCCCCCCGGAGTTCTCGAGCCCATCCTAAGGAGCAAACTTACGTCCCAGGCCGTTTCGTTGGCGGCCCCAGGCCCCGAAGGAGGCCTTTTCTGTTCCACGTCTTGAAGGAGGCGGCGCGGCCTTTCTTTCCTTTTCGCGACGAAGGGGGTCAAGGCCCTACTCGTCAGACTTGCTGTCGACCTCCTGGGGTGCGTTCTGGCCCGAACTTCTATGCGAATCCAGCCGTGGCCACGAGCAGCTTCCGGGATGCTCAAAGAGATCGAAGACGGCAAGTTTGCGAAAGTTTGGAGGAGTAATCCCCTCCTCCTTTGCGCTCCGCGTCTCCCTCTCCCCATCGCCTCTCCCCACCGCCTCCGCCTCTCCCCATCGAGTCTCTCTCTCTCCCCATCACCCTTCTCCTCCTCGACCTCGTTGCTCCATTCTCCATTCTCCCCTCCCTCCCCTCCCCTGCCCGTCCCCCCCTTTCTGCGACCTCCCCCCCTCATTGGGGACGAGAGGGCCGAGCGCCCACCTCTGGAAAGGGCAGACGACCCCGCAGAGTTGCTGGCGGCGAGCCCGCCCTCGGCCTCGCCCCGCAAGCCCGGGCGCGCGGAGAGGGGCGGCGCAGACAGCGGCGAGGCGCTGCCGGGGGCCTGTGGGTCCAGATGCGGGGAGGGAAGGGGGGGGGAGGGGGCGACGGGGGATGAGGGGGAAGGGGGCGGGAATCTATGCCGTTTGGGCACTGAGGGGGGAGGACTTGTAGTAAAATGAGGGTCTTGGGGGGTACATGGGGTGGAGATGGGGGTGGGGACAAGCCAGGCGCGCTCGCGACAGATCTGACATCCTACTCCTCCCTCCCATCCCTTCCCAATTCCCTCATTTTTTCTCTATCCGCAGACGCGTGTCGAAGCCGATGTGGAACGTGTACAAAAAGACCCCATCGTGTTATGCACAGGCGGAAAGGGGGGAGCTGCGCACATCGGAGAAGGAGGTGGCGGGTGAGCAGGAGTACAAGCAGCAGGAAAAGGAGGATGATGTAGAAGGAGTAGGACGAGGACGAAGAGCAGCAGCATGAACTGGAGTGGAAGCGGAATGAGCGGGAGGAGCAGGAGGACCAGGAAGTGCGGAGGAGAAACGAGAGGGTGACAGCTATGGAAAAAGGGTTCGGATCCAGAAAAGTGGCACACACTCGGGCGAGAGCGCCATTCTGAACGATGGGAGCGACACGCCTGTCCGCAAATGAGGCCGACACTGCACCGGGAGTACCGTGTTGTAACAATCAGACGTTTAAAACATTCACAGGGAAGACCACCTTTGTCCAAAGCGTTTGTGTGTAGAAGAACATGTTATCTTCCGGACGGAGTCTGGGGAGAGAGGACAGTAGTACGTATTCGTAATGCGTGATCGTAAAGTCGGGGGGGCGAGTCGGGGGGCCTAAGCTGTTTGATATTGTCTTGTGTTTCTTGTCATTCGCCTTCAGGGCCGTCCCCCATCGTTGTGCTCGTTGTTCGTCTTCTTCTTCTTCTTCTCCCCCTCCTCCTCCTCCTCCTCCTCCTCCTCCTCCTCCTCCTCCTCCTCCTCCTCCTCCTCCTCCTCCTAGCCGTTCTGGCGCAGGTTTGCGGCCTGAGCTGGTCGGCTATCTTCAAGGCCAAGGGTGTCGACCATGACCTCCTCCGCCAGTGGGTGGCCGAAGACGAGGACACGCGCCCGCTGTCGGACTCAGCGCAATTCGACGCGTCCAGGTTCAAGCTTGTTCGTTCTCACGTTCGCAAAGCCATTGAGCAGTCCAACAATTATTCGCCTGGTCCGGACGGGTCCCGTTCCAGGCCTCTCGTGCCATCATTCGGCTGTCTGTCACGATCCTGTTCGACGTCTTCCAGACTCCCTCGGGGGACGATGGAGCCGACCGCATGGAGTGGTCCGTCGACGAATTCAACGCGAGCTTGTTGTTCTTTCTGCCCAAAATAACATCGGGAATGGGGCCAACCGTGGAGGGTTACTAAGCGCCTGCCAACGTCCGCCCCCTGAATGTCACCAGTGCCGACAGCAGAGTGTTGGCCAACGCGGTCCGCATCCTCATCGACCCGACGATCGGCTCCAGAGTGTCCAGCATTCAGCTGGGCTTAATTAGGGGACGCTCCATATGGTCCAGTTTATTGGATATCGAACAGGCTTCGGTTCACGCCGCTTGCACCTCAGACGAAGTGGGCGCCATGTACTTCGACTTCGCGGCCGCCTTCGCTTCGATCGCGCACGACTTCCTCATGGCCGTCTTCGAGTCGTTCAATGGGCGCATGTGCTCCGGAACTACGTTGCCGTACTCTACAGAGGGAACTTCTGCGACATCGTGCTGGACGGGCGCCCGGTTCCGCGGCTTCGGCGTCCACCGGGGGAAACGTCAGGGATGCCCCATTTCCCCCCTGCTATTGGCTGTCGCGGCGGGCCTGTTACTGCGCAGGCTGGCCTGGGCCGTCGCGTCGGGCACATCGCGCGCCGACGCCGACGACGCAGCGTTCGCAGACCCGCTCCTCGTGCAGCAGTTCGGCCTGCTGGAACGCGTTTTCACTGAGTATGCTCGCGTGTCTGGCCTGGAACTTAAAGTTCAAACGGCAGTTCTTGTCCCGCTCGGCCAGCTCTCCAACGAACAAGTCCGAGCACATTTTCGGCGGGAGGTTCCGCTTTGGGGGGCCATGGAAATTTCATATTCTGCCAAGCATGTTGGTTTCTACGTTGGCCCTGGCCGCGGGCTCAAATCTTGGGATTCTCCATTCAAGAAGATGGAAGACCCAGCGGTGGTGTGGGGGCAGCTGGGGGCTGGTATGATGTACACCATCGAGGCTTACTGCGCGTCCGTCGCTTCAGTCACCGCCTTCATCGCGCAGCTCGACCCCCACCCCGACGGCTTGCCAGAGGTCGAAAGCATGTTTTGCGGAAGTTCATCAAGGGCCCGTGTGATCGGATACCCCGCGACGTAATGCGGGCCCTCACGACATTTTCCCGGGCGTCCAGGCCATTGCCCACGTCGCGAAGGCACGGGTGGCCTTGCTCGAGGCCCACAGCAGCGGTGGACTTCGCGCACTGCCGCGCGCGACGGCCCTATTGGAGACGATGCGCGACCTCAACAGCATACGGCGGTTGGGCGCCCGCGGGGCCTGGGCCGCGTTGCCAACTTTATCATCATTGGAGGCCGCTGTACTCTCGTTCATAGCATCGGGGGATTCCGCGAGAAGGCTCCTCGGCCCCGTCCGCCGGGGAGCCCCGCGGGGAAGGATGGCAGGCGCGCGCCCTGCTGGCAACGCAGCCGACCTATCCCGTTGCCGCCGACTGGGCCCTTCGGCGACAGCTAGACCGTTGGCGGCTCGATACGTTGCCGGGGCGCCGATGCCAGAGGCTATTGACGGCCCTAAGCAGCATCGAGGCATTGGTGTCGCCTTGTGTGTTGGCTGCGGTATTGCGGTCGAACCTGAACGGCTGGATGACGGCACGGAGGTTTCAGCGGTGTGGTAAATGTGTGTTCGGCTGTGCGCGTGCCGACGAGTCGCTCCAGCATTGCACACAATGCCCGTTATATCATGATTTGTGTCGGCAGCATTTTCGTTTGGAACGCCCTGACTCGGCCGTGGCTCTCGACTGCTTCTGGCTCATGGCCTCGGCTACGCGACAAGCGCGCATCGAAGAGCCTCCGTTTGGCGGTGCCGTTGCCTCGGCGCTCCAGGCTCCGAGCGTGCATATTTTGCACCGCACCCAGAATGCTGCCCGCAATTCGCTCGGGACTGGCCCCCGTAGTGACCTTTTCCGCGGGCACGTCCGCGAAGAGGCTTGGGGTCATCCCAAGTCCATGTCTTTGATGAGCGCGGTGCACAAGCTCTGGCGCCAAGACTAGTCTCTCCTCCTTCTCTGGGATTGGGTGGGTTTGAAGGTCTGTCGGGTCCTGGGGTGTTTGTGGGCCTTGTTTTGTTGTTGTGTCGGTTTATCTTTGTCCATGTCCTTTTTTCTGCAGTTCGCGCGAGGCCTGGTGCTGTTTCCCCCTCCTCGCGATCTCGCGGCTGGGGCCCGACCCAGCGGCCGCGCAGCGGAACTGCGGTGCTCGTTTTGAGATCGGATTTGGGCGAATTCATTTGTACTGCGCAGGCATTTTGCGTGAACCTCCCGGAGCCCAGGGGAGGAACACTTTGAGAGCGGGGGATTGTGGAGTCCTTTGCCTTTCGAAGAGTATGTTCGTGCAGTTTTTTCGTGAAGTTGTCGAACATGATTCCTCGTCTTACTTCTCCTTCTCCTCCTCCTCTTCCTCTTCCCCCCCTTCTCCTCCTCCTCTTCCTCCTTCTCTCTTCTCTTCCTCCTCTTCCCTCCCACAGAATCTAGCTGATTGCTTCTCCTGCCCCCCATTAAAAAAAGCCGCGCGGCCTCTCGTTGTTTGTTTGTTTGTTTGTTTGTTTGTTTGTTTGTTTGTTTTTTTTGTGGGGGGGGCTCCTCCTCTTCATCCGCGCTGCTCCGCCCCCTCCTTCTCCTCCTTGCCCCAGAATCTAGCTTTTTCTGCTTCTCCTACACCCAAAAAAAAAGAAAACGCGGCGCGGCCTCCCGTTGTTTGTTTTGCTTGTTTTTTTTTCTGTTGGGGGGAAGGGGATGTCTCCTCCTCGTCCTCCGCGCTGCTCCGCTCCCTCCTTCCTCTCTCCCCCGCCCTTTTCCTCCTCCTTTCCCCAGAATCAAGCTTATCGCGATTGAGATGCTCCGAAAGATTGAAATACCCCAGTTGGCATTGCATTGGCATTGGTTTGGCCATGGTTTGTTTTCGCATTGGCATTGCGTTGGCATGGCGCTTGGCAGTGCGCTGGCATTGCGCTTGCATGTCGCAAGCATTGCGCTGGCGGATCCGAATGGAACCCTCCACAGAAGGACTCAGATTGAAACCCTCTACCAGAAGGACTTCGATTGAATCCCTCCACAAAAAGGGTTCATATTGAAACCCTACACAGAAGGATTCCATGCGAAACCCTCCACATACGGATTACTACCAGAATCTACCACACATGCTTCTCCCATTGGCATTGCATTAACGTTGGGTTGGGATCGTTTTGGCATTAGTTTTGCATTGCGTTGGCACTGCTTTGGCATTGCGCTGGCACTGTGCTGGCGAGTGCCAATGCCCCCCGTCGCAGGATGATTGGTATTGAACCCCACACAAGAAGGATCCCGATTGAATCATATTGAACCCCTTTCAAAGCAGGATTGTATTCGAAACCCTCAATCGTGTGAGTCCGATGGAAGCCGACCAGAAGCGATTTCCCCCCAGCAGTTCATTGGCATTGTATTGGGATTGCCATGTCATTGGTTTGGCATTGCGTTGGCACTGCTTTGGCGTTGCGCTGGCGACTTCCAGTGCCTCCCACCACAGAAGGACACCCAGTGAAACCTTCCGCACGACGGGTCCTCCACATGAAAGGTTCATGGTGAAACCTTCCACAGAAGGTTTCCTGTCGAAGCCCTCCACAAGAAGATTCCTATCGACATCCTCCGAAGAAGGATCCGTAGCCAAATCATCCACAGAAGGATTTCTGTTGGAATCTGTCGAAAGAGTGGAATAATGCCATCGGCATTGCATTGGCAGTGGTTTGGTAACGGCTTGGTGTCGCATTGGCATTTCGTTGGCATTGCGATGGCAGTGCGTTAGCAGTGCGTTTGCGTTGCGATGGCATTGCGCTGGCGAGTCCCAACCAAACGGTCCACAGAAGGATTCCGATTGACTACGCCCACAAGAATGATGCCTACGGACCCCCCCACAATAAGGATTCACATTGCAATGCTCCACAGAAGGGTTCCATGCGAACCCCTCCACAGAAGGATTCCGATTGAGATCCTCCGAAGAAGGGTCCTTAGAAGTTTTCATTTGTGGATGACATCATCTACAGCAGAAGGGTTCTTAGAAGGATTGCTATTGAACGCTACCACAAGCAATGCACCCCATCGGAGTTGCATTGGCATCAAGTTTGGATCGCCTTAGCGTTGGTTTGGCATGGAGTTGCCACTGCTTTGGCATTCCACCGAGCGAAAGCATTCCCCCATTACCATTGGATTGGGCAATGCTTTGGTATTGCGCTGGCAGTGCTCTAGCGAGTCATTTTGCCTCCCTTCGCACAACGATTCGCATTGAAACCCTCCAGAAATAGGATTCCTTTAAACATCTACCTACCAGAAAGGCTCCTCCCCATTGGCATTGCATTGGCATTGGATTGGGATCGCCTTGGCATTGATTTGGCATTGCGATGACACTGCTTCGACATTGCGTTGGCATTGCGCTGACGAATCCTCTGCCCCCCTCCGCAGAAGGACTCCTACCGAACCCCCACAAGAAGGATTCCTAGTGAAACCCTCCACAGGGGGATCCCTATCGAAACCCTTCAGAAAGACATTCTTATTGAAATCCTCCGAAGAAGAATTCGTAATGAGATCGTCCACAAAGGATTCTTATTGAAATCCACCGAGCGAAAGGATTCCCCCATTCACATTGCATTGGCATTGGCATTGGTTGGCAGTGGATTGGTATCGCATCGACATGCATTGGCCGGGTGCAGGAGATAGACAGAGAGAGACAAACAGGGAGAGAGACAGAGAGAACACGAGATAACGGTATAACGAGAGAAGCATCTGATGAGGGGATCACGGCGAACAGAAAATGGCAAAAAACATCCAAGTTTAAAGATGAAGTGGCGTTCCACTAGATGAAACAATATCACAACGACGAGGCACTTCACAATCCCCCGGCCTCGACATTGTGTTAGCCTCAATTCGGGCCCTGTGGATGCTTTTGGCGTTCCTCCTCCGTCCCCCTTCTCCCGCGCGGGCACTGTCGCGGTCGCGTGGGCGCCCAGACTGACAGGCAGTCGGGCGACGACCTCCGCGGCCTGTTCGCCCTCCCCTCCTCGTCCTGGTCTTTTGCTAATCTCTCCACACTCGATCAGAGGCAGGTAGGAGTAACTTTCCGTCGGGCCGTGCCTTGCGAAATTATACGACCAGGAGTGACCTTCCGTCGGGCCGTGCCTGGCGAACTTCTTCCGTCGTGTAAGTTGTTGGACGTCGTGTTCGCCCCTCAAGGCCTGCGTGCTGATCCCGTCCCTTGCTCTGTTGCCGTGCGTTCCGTGGGAAAAACGGTTTGCGGCCTGAGCGTGCGAGCGCGTTCTTCAGAGCGGCTCGCGCTTTCGGGCCATCCACGATTCTTCGAAGGTGTCATCTGCGGCCCCAGGAGGCAGCCCATGGCGCAGCCGCCGCCAGATGTGCTGCCAGGCGTTCGCACGCCCTACTGGGAGTGTCCGTGTGGCTGTTGGGGAAAATTGGGTATCGCCAGTGAAGCGCAGGGCGCGCGGGCGCTCGGCGCCGGCCAAGACGGCGGCGGCAGCCCGCAGGGCAGCAGCAGCAGCAGCAGCAGCAGCAGCAGCAGCTGCAGCAGCAGTCAAGAGCCCTACGGTGTCGACCGAGCCTCCCGCCGCCAAGGGAGCGTGGGCTCAAGGGCCCCGTGGCAGCGCAGCCCAGCTCCGCCTCATCCAGGACCTGCGCGTCAAGGTGGCCGAGTTCAGCGGCGAGCCAGCGCCCGCGACCCCGCCGTAGTGCCCGACGTCGACTGACGCCAACAGTGGGGGGCAGGGGCAAGGTGGTGGCCTCTCAGGCAAGGACGACGGCAAAGGGAATGGGAGTCCACTTGCCTCGGTGGCGAGCGGGCTCACAGATGCCGCTGTCGTCCAGTTCCTCAAGAAGGAGGGCTTGGACGCGACCAGCGTCGAGGCGGCGGCGCAGTCAAAACCAGCAGTGGCGACGCCTGCAACTCCGATGGTGGCCTGGTGGAAAGCCGGGAACCTCAAGAATCATATCCAGAAGCCGCAGTCTCGCAGCGCGGAGCTCGAGATGCAGAGGGCTTCGATTGATGACCGGCTGGCTAAGATCAAGGGGGCCATTGACCAAACCAAGCAGGACTTGGCGACGGCCCAGGATGTGCTGGCCAAGATCCAGGCGGGCGAGCACGACAACCCCATCACGGTCCTCACGTCGGGGCTTGAGCTTGCTGTGGTGCCCTCGCAGGAGGGCAAGGGCGCCCTCGCCATCCTGGAGGGCCGACAGCGTGAGGCCGCGGCCGACGCGGCCGCGGCCCAGGCAGCAGCAGCCTCGGCAGAGGCTCAGGCCAATGGGGGTGGTCCTGTTGCTGGCGCTGCTGGTGACGAAGGCCCATCTGCTGCTGACATGCCTGTCGACGACGACGACGACATCGACGTGGGCGTGGTCGGAAGCGAGGACTACGCAGCTCGCCAGGCAGCCTTCGCTGCGGCAGCGGAGGACCTCAGGGAAGCCGCCCAGGGACCCGCCGAGCAGCAAGCGGAGGCCAATCGCAAGTACCGCGAGGCGGCGGCAGCGCTGGGTGTCGCCGTCAAGAGGGCCGGGACAGCAGCACCGAAGCGGGTTTAGGGCTGTCGGCGTCTCTGCAGGCATGGCCAACCTGATGAGTTTCTGGGGCTCCAGCGTCGCGGACGAGGAGTGGCCAGAGCTGGGCTTTTCTGCGCCAGCCTTTCGGTCCCCAGGGGACCCACGGACTTCGTGCACCGGGTCGCCATGGACGGCTTCCCCTGACCCCCTTGCGCCCCAGAGGGGGTCGCTGGAGGTCGGGTAGCAGCCGCCAGCATGTGGACCTCGCACCGCGTGTGTTTCAGGACTTTGGCGACTCGTTCGGGCCGGGGTTCCCCGCGCGGACCGCATCGGGGAGTTGCGGCGGGCAGCCCCTGAGAAATTGCCAGAGTCGGCCGACCGTCACGAGCTAGTGGCAGGTTGGAGCTTTTCCTCCTCCCCATGTTGCGATGCAGGCAGCGCCGGGACGAAAAAAACACGCCAGGACGAACGAGCTCGTGGAGCTGTCTGCGTGCGGCAGCCAGTCCTGGACGCTTCAGCCCCTGGCCGATGCGCAGAACAACACCACTGTGCAATTGACGGGGGTGGTTGAGAGGTTCGTCCAGAATTGCAGTCGCCACGCAGACGACGACCATTGGATGCTTATGTTCGGGTTTTTTGTTGTCAAGCTGGCCCAAACACTATTACGTTGCTGGTGGAGAAAATGTGACATCGCGCGTGCAGTTCTTTGTGAAGGCTTCCGAACGGCTGGCGCCGACTCCAGCTTCGAGGTATTTCCATTGCAGACCCACTAGATGGCCGACCAGGTTTCTGGTACAATGTCGAAGACGGGTTCGACGGGGGGCTCGCGTCGAGGTATTAGCGAGATGCCTTCAGGAGGCAGCGAAAGCGATGATAGCCTCACGGAGCGGCTTGTGGTGTTCAGCGATCGGCTCAAGTCCGAGGCCTCCTTGGATAAATGGATGAGTTCTCGCCCCTGGTCACTGCCGCCTCCACGGCAACGGGTAGCGGCGACGAGGAGCCGCACTGCGGGGGTTAGCTTTGCACAGGTGCAGGTGGAGAACGCGGCATTCGAAGTAAGTAGCGCGCGCCGCCAGCAATGGCGGCGCGCCCGGGGCCAGCTCCGCGGCAGCGGGTCGTTGGGGGCCGCGCGGCGCGAAGCTTATAGATCACCCAAGGAAGGGCTACCCTAGGGCTACCCCTAGGCCTACCCCTAGGGCTACCCTAGGGCTACCCCTAGGGCCTACCCCTAGGGCTACCCTAGGGCTACCCTAGGGCCTACCCCTAGGGCTACCCTGGGGCTACCCCTAGGGCCTACCCCTAGGGCTACCCTAGGGCTACCCCTAGGGCCTACCCCTAGGGCTACCCTAGGGGGCTACCCTAGGGCTACCCTAGGGCCTAGGGCCTACCCCTAGGGCTACCCTAGGGCTACCTCTGGGGCCTACCCCTAGGGGTACCCTAGGGCTACCCTAGGGTGTCCAGTAGGGCCTATCCTTGGGAAGCCTAGGGCCTTCAGTATGTGTAATCCGCCACACAAGCAAGCAATGCCTTTAATGTCCCGCCCGCCCGCCCGACAAAAGGAATCAGCTTGTAATCCGCCATAATAGTAATCAACTTGCAATCCGCTGCCAAATGGAATCACTTTGTAATCCGCCACGAAAGCAATCAATGCATTTAATGTCCCGCCCGCCCGCCCGACCAAAGGAATAAGTTTGCAATCCGCTGCCAAAGGGAATCCATGTGTAATTCACCACACAAGCAATTATTGCCTTCAATGTCCCGCCCGCCCGCCCGGCAAAAGGCGCCCGACCAAAGGAATAAGTTGAAAATCCGTTGCCAAAGGGAATCCATTCGCAATTCACCAAACAAGCAATCATTGCCTTTAATGTCCCGCCCGCCCGCCAGACAAAAGGAATCAATGTGTAATCTGCCACAATAAGAATCAGTTTGCCATCCGCCACACAAGCAATCAATGCCTTTAATGTCCCGCCCGCCCGCCCGACAAAAGGAATCAGCTTGTAATCCGCCACAAATGGAATCTACTCGTAATCCGGTACCAACGGGAAGCAATTGGTAATCCACCACACAAGCAAGCAATCAATGCCTTTAATGTCCCGCCCGCCCGCCCGACTAAAGGCATCAACCCTAGGATAGACCGGTGAGGGGGGGTCTGTGAGGGGGGGTCAGCGAGGGGGGGTCCCAGAGGGGGGGTCCCAGAGGGGGGGTCCCAGAGGGGGGGTCAGCGAGGGGGGGTCCCAGAGGGGGGGTCAGCGAGGGGGGGGTCAGCGAGTGGGGGTCAGCGAGGGGGGGTCTGCGAGGGGGGGTCAGCGAGGGGGGGTCCCAGAGGGGGGGTCTGCGAGGGGGGGTCTGCGGCGCCGGGGCCGCGGTCGCCGGGGGGCGGCGCGGGCGCCCTGCCCTCGGAAGGGGGAGCGGGGGGGGGGGAAGCAGGGGATCGAGGGAGTAGCGAGGGAGGAGGAGGAGGTGGAGGAGGAGGAGGAGGAGGAGGAGGAGGAGGAGGAGGAGGTGGCGGCGGAGGAGGAGGAGGCGGCGGGAGCAGGGGGGAGGGAGGAGGCGGGCGGACGGAGTGAGGAGGGAGGAGGGAGGAGGCGTGCGGAGGGAGGAGGGAGGAGGGATGCTGCCGGCTCGGATTCCCGCTACAAAGGGGTCCGGCTACCCCTGGGGCCCACCCCTAGGGCTACCCTAGGGCTACCCCTTGGGAAGCCTAGGGCCTTGGGTAGGGCCTACCCTTGGGAAGCCTAGGGCCTTGGGTAGGGCCTACCCTTGGGAAGCCTAGGGCCTTGGGTAGGGCCTACCCTTGGGAAGCCTAGGGCCTTGGGTAGGGCCTACCCTTGGGAAGCCTAGGGCCTTGGGTAGGGCCTAGGGTAGCCAAGGCCCCCGGTGATCTATACCGCGCGAAGGGGCCGCAAATGGCCGTGTTCTCCCCCTCCACGAGCAGCCCCTCATTCGGCCTCAGGACTCAGATTGATACCGTCAGAAGAGTCCCCTCGAAAGGGGGCATGCAGCCGTAGATGTTAAACATTGTCCTCCTCCTTCTCCTCCTCCTCCTCCTCCTCGTCAGCCTCCTCCTCCTCGTCATCCTCTACGTCCTGTTCATGTTTCCGACCCTCCTGTTTCGATCCGTTCCCTCCTCGTCTTGTTTCGCGTGACGCTCTTGCGCCGCGCGCGCTTCCCCCTTCCTCGCAGCTTCAGCGGATGGCGACCCAGTCTTCGTTGTGGTGGTGTGTGGATGGGAGGAGGAGCTGTAGCTCCCTGTGCATTGAGCTGGGAACTTCGCCCACCTACGCCGCGCGCGGCACCGTTTCGCGGAGGCGGGCCAGTTGCTGGCAGTCTTGATCGCTCAGGACATTGTCTTGGCCACCCTGCTCGCCGTCATGCCCATAGCGTTCGGGCGGGAGCAGGAGGCCGCGAGGGGACGACGACCACGACAACGACAAAACAGGTTTTGAACACACCATGTGGGATACCAGAAGTTCGGCGTTTACGGGCGCGGGTCTCGGCCCCTGGGACCAAGACGAACATATCGTCACCTGAGCATGTGTATACCAGCGTCGGCATGAAATAATGAGGTATTGCAGCTTGCAGTCTGTATGTCTGACTTATGTGGCGCATGCGGTGTGGTGCTAATTATGTGATGCAGCCCATACCTGCGGCAAGCAGCGTGGTGCAAGCTGTGAGAGTTGCCAGGTTTGTGGTTCAAGAAATGGTGTGCACGCACTGCGGTGCAAACCATGCGTGGTACCAGTTGTGTGGCGTGAGCTATGTGGTGCCGGCTATGTGGTGCGAGCTGTACGCTGCAAGCACGGTGGCGTCGGCCACGTAGTGCAAGCCGTGCACCGCAAGCCGAACGAGGCGTCCGCCAGGCGAACCCTCCGCAGGCCCAGCGCACGGGGCGCCCACCAGGCGCCCACGGCCGCCCACCAGGCGATGCCTCGGCGGACGAAGCCAGCGCACGGGGCGCCTACGAGGCGCCCGCGGCCGCCCGCCAGGCGAAACCCTGGCAGAGCCATCCCATTACGCAAGGGTCGTAGGAGCCCTGAGAGCAAGAACGGCTTGGGGGAAGAAGCGCGACGTCATAGGTCTGGGGGCGAAGACCGCCGCGACGACCGACGAAGAGGGTCTGAGAGTAACGACAGCGACGATGACAATGAAAGACGGACGTGCTTTGACGACGAAGGCGACGGAGGGCGACGATGGATGACGACGGTCCCACAGTGGCGACGACGACAACGCACAACGGACGACGGTCGATGGTCGTTGATGTCGACGACGTGCGATTTGTGGCGGTTGAAGTCCGTACTTTGGAAACGCGGCGCCCAACTTGAGAATTCCGTTGCCTGCGAACTCTAGATGTCTCTGAGGTGCCCGGGTCGGACGTTGTTTTTCTTTGGTGCGGTGTTGTTTTTTGGGGGATTTGCGGGTTGCCCACAGGAATGTATTCCATGGTCTTCGGACATATTCGCCGAGAGGGACCAAGTGGGCGATGTGCAGTCACAGGCTGTTTGTGTGCGCCGATGATTACACCGTTCTGAGATTCACCGTGGTGGCGGGCCGCCCTGGATCAGCTCTGACTAGAACCTAAGCGCGCGATGCACGCGTGTGGTTCTAGTGCGTGTGTGTATATATATACACGTGTTCATTCACAAGTGCACCATATCTATGAGTTTGGCCTCCCGGGTGTCATCTTGGAGCCCTCTTGGGGCGTCATGATGGCCTCTTGGGGCATCCTGTCCGCCCCGTCTTGGTTCCGTGTTGGATGCCATCTTGGGCCAACGTGACCGTTTGGGAGGCCATCTTGGAGGCTGAGGAAACTCCTTTTTAGGTTTTCAGTTTGGCCGGCGGGTTGTGCCGGAGGCCACTGGTAGCCTTTGGGAGGGGTTCATAACATCTAGCACTCTAGTGACAGGCACTTGGGGCGGCGGATCCAGCTGCTTGCGGCAAGTCCCGCCGCCGTGCTAATCTAGCACACAGGGTGGCGATTGTTCGAGGAGCGAGTTCCAAAGCTGCTCATAGAGGCCCTCAAGACGTACTCCGAAGGCAAGACGACCCAAGGAGCCCCTAAGAGAGGCCCCGAGATGCCCTCAAGAAGCCCCCCACACAGGCCATCGACATACCCCATGAGAAGAGGTAGGAAGAGGAACGGAGGAAGACGACGATGGACACGAAGACGACACGACGACGACACCCCGACGCGGAAGCGCATCACACGTGTTTCGGTTCCCCCAAGCCTCGGGACACGAAGTTGTGGCTACATGCTCGCTTGGGATGTGTACGGGTCGTCTTGGGATTGGGCCGTCTTGGAGTCTGGGTGTTCTGAGGCTTCCGTGCGCGGGATATTGCTCCCTCGGAGCTTCAGCGGCTCGCGTCGCCATAAAAGGGAAGTGCATTCCCATGAGAGGGGCAGTGTGCTTCCCTTGTGTGTAAACGCACTCCCTTGGAGGAAACTGCACTTCCCGCTGAAGTGGACGTGTACTTCTGTCGGGGTGGAAGCGCAGGTCTCCTGAAGAGGAGAGTGAAAGAGTGAATGAGGAGGAGGAGGAGGAGGAGGAGGAGGAGCAGGACAGGACAGCGTCGGAAGAGGTGTCGCGGCGGCTTCTGGTGCATTCCCCGCTTTGGCGACCCCTTCCCCAGGTACGGCACATCCTTTCCTCGGGGTATGGTGGAGGCTTTTCCTCGGTATGGTGGGGCGTTTTCCATGCTGTCGTTTCCTTTGGAACGGTCGATCGTATCCCGTTTTCGGAAGTCTATCGCCTCAGGCCGCTTGGGGGGGGGAGCACCAGCCCGCTGGCCCGTGGCGGACTGTGAGCCTGACGCCAGGGGGTGCGTGTGCAGGACGCCGCCAGGAGACGACGACACCTACGACGACGACGTTGACGACGACGACGACGACGACGACGACGACCACGACGACGACCACGACGACGGCGGCGGCGGCGGCGGCGGCGGTGGCGGCGATGGCGGCGACGACGACGATGACGACGCACGTTGACGCCGTCTTCGTTTCGGAGGTGGTTCTCGTCCCCACGGCTGGTCGCAGCTCGAACGGCTGGCCGGGCCGGACCCCAGGAGAGCTCCCGCGACCGATGCGGAGCCGACCGGCGGGGCGGCGACGGCGGCCAGAAGCGACCTCGACCCGCCGCCCGGCGCGCCCGCCGCCCGGCGCGCGGGCCCGCCAGAAGAGAGAGCTCCGGGGGAGGTGGGCCATCGGGTCTCACGTGCTGGGCGTTAGCGCTGACAGGGGTAAGCCAATCCCTGCGTGCTGACCCAGTTTTAGGAGCCACGTGGGGCCGATTCTCTTGTCTCCGCCCTCCTCACAAGGCTCAGCGACTCCCCAGACTGCTCCATAGTCGCGCCTGTTTGGACCAAGTCGAGAAACCAGCTGCACGTCGAAGTACGAGTTGCCTCAGCGAGCCTACGATCTCCACTGGCCCTGGTTTGGGAGCTGCTGAGCGGCCAGCCGGGCTTCGCGGCAGGGCCCTGGCCGATTCGTGCGTGCCCGAGGCAAGTCGGCGGCAGGGAGAGGGCCGGCCCAGAGGCAGGCAGCGAGCAGGTCGAGAGGCGGCGGGCCGGGAAATCCGGAGAACCGAGCTGGCAGCCCAGAGATGTCTGGGACGAGCCTGGCACGCCAGAGGCTCGGAGGAGGAAACGGTGCCGATACGGCTACCCTTTGCCCTCTGTTCCTTTTTGGGACCTCCCGGGAGGCCCTCGTCGCCACGGTTGGATCCGCCCCGAAATTCTTGTCAGAACGCACCCTGAGAGAGGTCTGGGGAGCAGCGGTATCGGTACGTCTTGGGTTCCCCAGAGGCGGTGCAGGTGTGAGCTGGCAGCACGCCTCCCCTCCTCGTCCCTCCTGTCTCCTCCTATCGCTCCCCCGCGCCGGAGCCCTGGCAAGAGGCTGCGGACGCGATGGAGAACGGCTCTGGCGGTAAGCCCGCGCAACAGGACGCAGGGATGAGGAGGAGGGCCAGGGTAAATCCGAGTTGTGTCAATGATGCCGCAGTGCCCTCCCAGGTCACCTCCTCGCAAGTCCCTGCAAGTACTTCTTTAAGCATCGGGGAGGCCCCCCCCCAGTGAGAGCTCCGTTTTGAGACGGGTTCGTCCTCCATCCGCGTAAGTGTGGTTGATCCAGAAGTTGTTGGCATAGAAGTTGAGCAAGCTAAGCGACGGCCCAGTGTTCGAAAAGAAGCCGCACTCCACCCGTGCAACTCTTGAACAGTGCTTGAAAGCCTGGTCGAAAAGCTAAGTGGGTTCCCCATCTTCACAAAGAAACGGCCTTCACCCGTGGAACTGTCGGAGTGCGTTATGACGAGGGTGCAGGGTGCGCGGAGCCAAGGCGAGATCCCTGTTTTGGAAAGCACCCCGAACTCTATCCTTGGAGCTGCAGGGAGTTGCCAGCTTCGAGACCACCCGTTGTGAGGAAGTCTCGGGCGAAGCGCACGGCCCGCGCCAACGACACATCTGGTGGTGCGGCAGGGAGAAATTGGCCATAAGGAAGAGAAGAGGAAGAGCAGGAACAAGACGAGCAGCATGGCACGCACAGCTGAGTCAGAAGAGTCCGAGTTACAAGGGGTGCGGAGAGCAGAGGACCCCGCCTGGAAGCGCAGGAACAAGACTAGATGAAAACGACCGCCCGCCTCGAATATCGTCCAGAAAATACTCGTCAAGGGGGACGGGGTCAGCCCGAGCATCGCGGCCCCGCCAGCTGGCCTGGTCCTCGACTCACCCGGGCTCGACCGCATCCTCCCAAGGCAAACCACAGTTAGCCAGTCCCATCTGGAGATCAGGCCGAGGAGCTGAACTATGCTCCCCAGCTTGACCCCTGGAGGCCTATTCGGCTTGGGAAGCAAGACCTGTCCTCCGAATTGCAAGGACCATGCTGCTCTTCGGATCCGACGGTGCAAGCCCTTGCGAGCTTGGACCACGTGATCCTTCGGCTTCCTGGGGCACCCCGAGGTTGACTGACGCTCCGAAAGTGCACCCCTTTTTTAAATTGTGTCTGGCCGACAGCCCCTCAATCGGTACACAGGAGAATCTGGTCGTCCACGGCCCGACACGAGTGTAACAATGAATCGGCCTTCATAAGTTGATCCCCCAGCAAGGACGGTCGGGGTGAGGCTCAGAGGGGAAGGACGAGATGGCGGCGGCGGGAGCAGCGGCCAGGTCCTTGTCATGCACAGGGGGAGACGACGAGTGACACGCTGAGGCTGGCTCCCCAACTTATGCAATCACCTCCTCCGCCTCGTGAGGCAGCGGATGGCGAGTGTGCATGATCCAGCAGAATGGTTTCCAGCCGCATCAAATCTAGAGGATAGGCCTCAATCTTGTCGGAAACGTGTGCCTCAGAAGAGGCCGCACGCACGCACATCCTCCACGCACATGCTCCGAGCTAGTCCTGGAGAGCCCCGCAAATAGCTGCAAACAGGGTGCGGCACTCTGAGCTCCTGACTCGCCTCCTTTGCTAGCTAATCAGCCGGCTGGTTATCGCTGCGCTGCTGATCGGTCATTCTGACGATCCAGTATGACGGCGGTGGTGGTGAGAGATTGCATGCTGTTTACCTCCAACCCGTCCGGACGGTTACGAGGACCTGCTGCGTCGGCCTGATCATTCAGGCAGTCTGCCGTGCTGGCGGAATCTACATACGATTCAGAGGGACCTTCTATCAACGCGCGTTCGGGTAACATCAAATTGGCGTACCCCTCGTCGTCAATGGCTATTTGGTCGGGGGTCTCGCTCAACGGATCCACATCCCAAATCGAAGAGATCCCGAGGACGGCGCTGAAACTGACACGGGAGGTCGGAGAACGCACCACGCGGACATCCGTCACAAGCGGCAACCCAAATGGCACTAATTTTCAGTGCCACCCGATGAAGTGCAGGTTCAAGCCTTCCTCTGCGCCAGATCTTGGAAGTTGGGCATTGTAGCCACTTGTGGTTAAGCGTGCCGCCGCAACCCTCGCATGCCTGGCAGGTGTCGAGCAACGCGGGACTGGTATGGGACCAGGAGGAGGAAGAGAAGGAGGAGGAGGAGGAAGCTCAATCGGGATGAGAGGGGGGGAAAGATGAGGAGGAGGAGAAGGACAAGGACGAGGAGGAGGAGGAGGAGGAGAAACAAGAAGGCTAAACATGGGAGGAGGAGGAGGAGGAGGAGGAGGAGGAGGAGAAGGAGGAGGAGGAGGAGCGGGACGAGGCGGAGGAGGAGAAGGATATGCGAGGATGGGGAGGGAGGGAGGAGGAGGAGGAGGAGGAGGAGGAGGAGGAGGGAGGAGGAGGAGGAGGAGGAGGAGGGAGGAGGAGGAGGAGCGAGGAGGAGGAGGAGGAGGAGGAGGAGGAGGAGGAGGTGCGAGGAGGGGGTGCGAGGAGGAGGAGGAGGAGGAGGAGGAGGAGGAGGAGGAGGAGGAGGAGGAGGAGGAGGAGGAGGAGGGGGAGGAGCGAGGAGCGAGGAGCGAGGAGGAGGAGGAGGAGGAGGAGGAGGAGGAGGAGAAGAAGGAGGAGAAGGAGGAGGTGCGAGGAGGCGCGAGGATGGGGGAGGGAGGAGGATGGAGGGTTCGCGACCCAGGACGTGGGGACCCGCGGTGGCCCCGACCTGCCGAGGGAGCTGCTGTCGAGGCCAGTCCTCGGGGCGGGGGGGGGAACTTGGTAGGATTGCTCTCTCGGCTCTCTCTCTCTCTCTCTTTCTCTTTCTCTCTCTCTCTCTATCTCTCGTATTTATCCATTCAAATAAATTCGAATTGGCCTTGGCGGGTTTGCGTGGACCCCCGGATCCCCGGGCTCCCCGGGGGCTCCAAAACGGCACCGGAAGGCCCCCGGAGGGGTCCGAAACGGCGTCGGAGCTCCCCAGAAAAACCCAAGACGGCTTACGGAGGCCCCGAGACGACCCAAGACGGCTTTCAGGCGGCCCAAGATGTTCTCCAGACGGCCCCATACGCCCCAAAGACGCCCCCGGACGGCTCCGGGGGGGTCCGAGGGCTCCCCCAGGAGGGCTCCATCAAGCAAAAATGGCCACATTCCCTTCGTAAAATGCACATTTTCAACAGATTCGACATTTTCCTTTACGAAGCGTCCAAGACAGCCCCAGAGGCCTCCAAGATTGTCCAAGACGGCCCCCAAGAGGGCCCAAAGATGGCTCAGACGGCCGCAGGACGGCCCAAGGGGCGCCCAAGACGGCCCAAGAGGACCCCAAGAGGTGCCCAAAAGGGGCCCAAGAGAGCCCAAGATGGCCCCAAGACGGCCCAAGTGGCGCCCAAGGTGGCCCAAGACGGCCCCAAGACGGCCCAAGAGGCGCCATACACGGCCCAAGAGGGCCCCGAGGAGCCCCCAAGAGGCCCAAAAGAGCCCCCATAGAGCTTCCAAACGGCCCCCTAGAGGCTTCAAAACTGCCTCCAAGAGAGAGGGGCGGACGAGAGGGGAGAGGCCCTTCGCAGGCGCAAAAGAACAAGGTTTTACACTCCCGTGGCCCTGGCGCTGCCCGTCTGCGCTCCCTATTTTGCCGCGACGCCGTTCCGACGCTTCCGACGCGGCCCGAGACGGCGCCGCGTTTGACCCGACCCGCTCCCGCGTCCGCCGCGATCCCGACGCATATCTTCCAACGCTGCTCTGGCTTGGTCTCTTGAACTTTTGCCTCTTTCGAAGCTCGAACACTTCGGCCCCCGCTTCGGTGCATTGGGGGCGCTCAGTGGGGGAACAGCACCAGAACAAGCTTCACAGGATCTACGGCAGTAGCTGGCAGCGTCGCACAACCCAGCACTCGCAACCAAACTTCGATCCGCGCAACTCCGTGGATTTTATCCACGGGTCCACACTAGTCTCTCTATATATATATAGAGGTTGTTCTCACTCTCTCTCTCTCTCTATCTCTCTCTTTCTCCTTGTAGCACAGCAGCTGCCGCCGGCTGCCGCCGGCTGCCTCCTCCTCGCCTCCTCGTCCTGCTCATCGTCGTCCTCCTCCTCCTCCTCATCCACTTCCTCCTCCTCCTCCTCCTTCCTCTTCCCTAGTGTGTCCTCCTTCTCCTCCTCCTCCTCCCCCCCCCCGCCCCCTTGTGTCCTCCTGCGTGGCCTGGCCACCCCAGCAGCACAAGACGTCGTTTCTCTGCCGTCCAGGGCACAGAAGCTGCCGCTGGTTGCCCCCAATATTCTTGTTTTGTATCCCGGCCTGGGTCAGGGGCCCCCAGACCCGCAGGTCAGGAGGTAGGTGTTCACAAGTACAGAGGCTACCTCCTTGGTGTCGCTCGGACGTGTGATTTTGTCTCGGCGAGGGCCATCGATGACCATCTTTCTACTTCATCTTGCGTAGAAAAAAGGATGCACTGAACTTAAACATGCACGGGGACTGGACGTCCGAGCGATGGCGAGTCTCTATCTCTCTGTTTCTATAGCCTTTCGCCCACCCCCCCCCCGCACCGTCGCCCTTCCCGACGACAGATCCGCAGGAATACACGGGTCGCTGGCGCGTCACGCCTGCAAAGTCGCGTCAGTGGATACCCCATGGGGAACTGTTTTTTCGCGCCCACTCCCCGTTTCTTTTAGCTGCCCCTCCAGCCCTCAGAGGGGAGGCCGCGCAGGCGCTTGCCCCCTGCCAGCCTGGACCCACGCGTCCGCTCTGTTTTTGATTGTCATATATACGTTTATATAAATATTTATTTATAAGTATTGTATATATACATGCGTATACATGTACATATGTACAAGACTACATTGGCGCTTCGCGCCATGCACCTTGGTCCTTCATGCCTTGCGTGTGGTGGCACTTGGCGCGATCCTCCGTTGCTTCTGAACTTCGGCCGCGTTGCGCCCAGTCCCCATAGCCGTTCGTTATTCGCTTGCGCCCTCGCTTTGCAGGTCCGCGCGCCACTCGGTCGAGTATGCCGGGGTGTGGAGAGACAGCCAACATGCGTGCGATGTTCCGAATCACGGAAACTATAGGAAATGTGCAGAATGCCCTAGACATGTACCGAATCCCAGGTTCACAACCGATTTTCTGGGAATTGGGTTGCGAACCCGGGATTTGAAGCATTTGAGTGTTTTACGTGGGAAGCCGCTGTCCGGAAGACGGCGTGTGAAGTGCTGTCCGGCCTGTTCAGGGGTCCCCTCGGAGCTTTTTGTTGACTTTCTGAACCTGTATTGGGCCGTTCTGGGGCCTTTTTGGTGGGGAGAGGCGAGGGCTCTAGGGGCCTTTTTGAAGCGGTCTAGGGCCCTCCGGGGGAACCTTTTGGATAGGTTTTCCGTCGTCCCGGAGGTCTCTTGGGGCCGTCATGGGGCTCTGTGTGGGGCCTTTGGGGCCGCCATGGGGTCCTCTTGGAGGTCTCGTCAGCCGTCTTGGGGCGGTTTCGGGAGCTTTTGGGGCCATCTTGGACGCGGCGAGGTCGAAGTTACGAGTATGTCAAACATGCGCATTTTCCGAAGGGAAATGAGAAGATGGTTGCCTGTTGTGGGTCGTCTTCGAGGCCTTTGGGGCCGTCCCAGAAGCCTCTTGGGCCATCTTGAGGTCACGTCGGTCACTCTTGGAGCGCTCTTGTGCTGTCTTGGGGGGTCTCTGGGACGTCTCCGATGACCTCCCTGATCGCCCGAGGTGTGCTGGGAAGGCCTGGCAAAACGCCCTGTGAGGCCCGGGGGGCCGCTTCGAGGCCCGTCCGGAGGGTCCCAAAGCCCCAGATCCCGGGAGTCCGGTTTTTTTTGTTGGAGGGGGAGAGGTTTTCCCCCCGCCCGGGCTTGCAAAATGTAGGAAGAGGAATGTATAGTTTTCTCTTTCTCTTTCTCTCTTCCATTCTCTCTCTCTCTCTCTTTCTTTCTTTCGTTGTTGATATTTGTTTGTTCTCTCTCTCTCTCTCTCTTTTTCCGGACCATGTCTGTGGGGCGTCTTTGGCTTCGGAGCTAATGGGAGCTAGCAGGAGGAGGAGGAGGAGCAGGAGGAGGAGGACCATGGTCCACCACCAGGTCGCGCCGCTGCTCTACTGTTTACTCGTCTCCCTGGGCCTGATCAGAGGGTGGTTTGTTTTTGACCTTGTTGCCAGAGGAGGAGGAATATACGTTTTTCTGTGTTTGGGCCCCTCGACTGGCTTCCTCGATCGAGAAGTGAGGATACGACTAAGAGGAAGAGATGAGCGTCTGGGCTCCTCGATGAGCAGGCGAGCGTGACAAGCGTGTGGGCTCCCCGATGATGTGGAGAGGTGAGGAGAAAATGTTCGGGCCTTTCGATCGGCCTCCCCATCCCTTCTCCCGCTGGGGGGAGGAGAAAGAGGAGACCGCATTGATGTGCGAACGTGCTGAGATGCCCACGTACCTTAATTCTTGACACCTCGCGCATCTTCACAGGAATAAGCAGAACCGATTTCCCACTGAGGTGCGCTGATGAGGCAAGCATAGGTGCATGAATCAGAGTACCCCGAATCATTGTACAACCTTGAACCTCTGGGTTGCTTTGGACCTAGTCGCTGAAACGAATCGCGATTCCATGCCGCTAGCGATGAAGCCTGGAATGCGCCGCGCGCGTGCCTGACCTGATCCGATCACGCGAGGCTGCGGAGTGGATGTAGAGGCCGGAGCATGCGAAGGAAAGTATTGGAAGAGAGAGAGAGGGGAGAAAGAGAGAGAGAGGGAAAGAAAGAACAATGTATGTATATATATATATATATATTCATGTTTAAACAAGTGTCATTGTTTGGGCGCTCCGTCAACCGCTTTGTCCAAATTCCTCTATGCTCTTTTCCTTCCTCCTCGTCCTCGCGAATCCGCTTCCCTCCTCTTGTTTCTCATCCGTCTCACATTTTGTTGCTTGACTTGTTCTATCATATATAGGTGTGTGTGTATATATATATAGATTCCCTCCGTCCTTCCCCTCCTCCTCCTCCTCCTCCTCCTCCTCCTCCTCCTCCTCCTCCTCCTCCTCCTCCTAGGTCCCCTTCTATTGCTTCATTTTTATTTCCTCATCCCCTCTCCTCCTGCTCCTCCTCCTCCTTCTGCTCCTCCTTCTCCTTGTCATGACGCCTCGTTGTCCGCCCTCCAGCGATAATTGTACCCTTGGCGACCAAGGGCGCGTCGGGAACCGAATCGTCCGCGAGGCAGTGGGGGGCAGCGGCGGCAGCGCCAGAGAGGGGGGGGGCGCCATCCAGCGCCGATCACCCGCTTGAGACTGGCTCGGTCTTCGCTGGGTTACGACGGCCACATGGGTCGCGAGCGCTGGAGGGGCGCGCCAGCGAGAGGAGGACTCGAGACTGGCTCGGACTTCGCTTGAGGGGCGAGGGCTTGGGTCGCGAGCGCTGGAGGGGCGCTCCGGCGAGAGGAGAAGCAAATTCACGGGGCCGCTGTGCTGCGAGGTTGGCCTCTGAACACGCATGTCGCTCTTTTGCTTGGGCTGACGGGGCGCGGCCCTGGCTTAGCCAGATCGGCCCAGCGGCCGCTCTTCCTAGAGGAAGGAGTTGCTCTTCTAGCTTAGGGCCGCCAGGTGATCTGGCACTGAGGCTGCGCGGGCGGGCGCGTGTGCCACCGCGTCCAGGGACGGGTCAACCGCGGCCACCGAGCGTGAGCCCCGAGTGAACGGAACCAGTTCCCTCTCGTCTTCCAATTCGTCGTCGTCCTCATCCTGTTGATGCATCCTCTCTTGGTGCTGTTCCTCTTCCTCCCTGCTCATGGCCCTTTCCTCCTCTCTCCCTCGTCCCTCATCCCCATCCTTCTTCCATCCCTCCCCCGTGTTCTGCCCTCCCTCCTCACATCCTTCAACTTCTCCCCATCCTCGTCCCACCCATCGTCTCTCCTCTCTCGTACCTCCTCCCACATCCACCCCATCTCAACCCTGTCATTGTCGTCATCCTCCCCTGCTCATCCAATGTCTGCTCCCCCTCCTCCTCCATATCATTCTCCTCTCTCCTCTTCCCTCCTCGGCACTCTCCTTTTCCATTTGCATGCCCATCCCCTCCTTCCCCTCCTCCTCCTCCTCCTTCTCCTCCTCCTCCTCCTGCTCCTCCTCCTCCTCTCTACCCTTCCCAATTGACCTGCTCATTCTCATTCCATCGTCCTCCCGATGCTTCTCCCGCTCCTCTTCCGACGAGTTCACTCTCCTTCTCGTCCCTCCCCTTCATTCCCCCATCCCCCCAGCCCCCCTCCTCCCTCCCTCCTTCCCCCTCCTCCTCCCCCTCCTCCCCCTCCTACCCCACCTCCTCCTCCCACCTTCCTCGTCGTCGTCCTTCCCCCCCCTGCATAGGGGGAGTATGCGGCTGCCTCTGGCTGGCCTTGGGGTGTTGCTGCTTGTCATTCTGCGCTTCGTCACGAACGTGCGGCAAAGACGGTGGGCGCTATGTTTGGTGTGCAGGCCCTGCGGGTTGAGGATGCAGAATGAGGAGGAGAAGGAGGAAGAGGAGGAAGAGGTCGAGGAGAACAATGAGAGGGAGGAGGATAGAGGAAAGAGGAAAGCAGAGAGGATGGGGGGATGTCGGGAGGGGGAGAGGTGGAGGAGATGGGGAGGGGAAGGAGGAAGAGGCGGCGGATGAGGGGGGAGGAGCACGAGGGCCAGAGAAATGCCAGCATAAGCACTGATGCTGCAACACACTTTTCTGTCCCAAGCACCTCCATCATGAGTCAATGCAAGCACTGTATCGTTTCACTGCGGTCATCCCCCCGAGGGAAGGTGAGGGGCCCATGGACCATGGACCCGCATGTTGAGACCCATGAGCTTCTTTGAATCCAAATCACGGATCAGATACGATTCGAACGCCTACCTTGTGTTAGTAAGCGGGGGGGGGGCCCGACGGGGGCCAACGTCAACCTGTCCTCGCGCGTGGGCTGGGGGTCTGGTTTTTGCGGCGGGTGGCGTGGGCCAGCTCGGACGACGTCGTGCGGCAATGTTTGCCCGCGACGGTGGACGATTTGGGGTTGTCGGGGTGGTATTCCCCCCAAGCTTATTACCAAACGCAGAGTATGCAGAGCACGGTGATGAAGAGGAGACCCCATCCATCCTTGCAGCTGCCGAGGTTTTCCAATTTCATAAACACAGGGCCGAACCACTTTCCATGCGAAGGCTTAATGTTGGCAAGGACCCGCCGTCCATCCTTGAAGCCGCAGGAGGCTCCCAGCTTAAACCGCCCAGCTGTGCAAGGAGTCTCCGCGCGAGACCCGGAAG